GTTCAGCAGAAGGGATGTCCAAGTTCCAGTGCTTAGGCCTGGCACTTTGGCACGGATTAGCTTAGCAGCAGAGACGCACCTTCTCGCTGCACATGCTGTTGCTGTTTCTCGTTCTGAGCACAGGCTCGCTCGCTGAAGGACTGGCTGTTTGGCAGGGGAAGGACTATTAGGTTTGGAATCAGGATAATAGCTGCTGCAATAATAATAATTGTATGGCACAGTTTCCATCTGTAGCTAATGATTCACTGTGTTACTGAGGTTATCAGGCTTTACCAAAAAGTCAGTTTAAGAAGACTGAAAATAGCTTAGGATTTGGGATTGGGGATGTAATTTTGTTGTGATCTGATAATTTTCTCTCCCTTTTTTAGGCAACCTTCATGATCTGTCAGTCTCAGCCACTTTGTCTATGAGGGAGAACATTCGACAGAGATCTTTTACTGTGAGCATTCTTGCTGCCCATCCCTGAACATTTATATTTTCATCATCTTTCTGAGATGAATCAAGATCAGTAAAATAAATCAAGAGTGAAGGATGGAAAAATGGGGGGAGGGGAATTTCCATCTCCCAGATAAAGTGCCTTGGCTTGCAAAGCAGTTTTACCCATTAGAATTAAGGTAATAGATGGGGGTAAGTGCAGGGACCTCAGAAGTACACACAGCTTAAATGGACAGGGACTGTATATGCGTTGCAGAGGATGGTGATGCAGGATCAGAATCAGCAGGGCTGTGCACCAGAGAAGGAGATCCTCACTCTTTGGAAGAGATTTCAGCCTCAAAAAGCCAGCCCTCTCTTCCTCTAGTACACAACGCTGCTGCTCTGGCTCCTGCCTCTCCGTCCTCCATATCATACATACTGAGCTGTGTATTTAAGTTGTGTGTACTTCTTAGGTCCCTATACACATTTCTCCCCACCATTGCTTTGTGCTACGAAACACAAAGATACCATCTTTTGCTATGGAAGACCCTGAAGCACAACCTGCTCCTGCTCCGTTCTGGGGAAGCATGACCACATGCCTGCCCTACTCTTAAATACTTCTCCACACATCTGCTATCAGCCAGCGCTGGAGACAGGTGACAAGGCCAAGCATGTGTCTGATCTGATACACCCAGTGCTTGCGTTCCTACCATGAGTATGAACAAAAGCAAATTGGTATTCCATGATCTGGGTGGGACACGGTATAGAGACTAATTGCAATGTTTACAGATGACCTGACAAATTGTGGATTGGTAAAATAGTAAGGATCGAGTTAATCTATGAAGTAATTTACTTGTACAATAGGCAAATCAGTATATACAAACACAAGGGCATTCGTTTCATCTAGGAGAAAACAACTTAAGTTGTGCTTACAGAACCAGGAGCGTACTCCAGAAAGCAGTTAAACAGAAAACAGTGTAGAGATACCTAGCTAGAGGTAACTGCTAAGAATTCACGATAACTCGTGAAATGCTGCTGCTGCTAAGGGAGCTAATGCACTGTTGAATGAACAAGAGAAGCGATCTCATTAATTTCTAACGCAGCATAAATGCCGCAAAGCACTTGGGGATCTATCAGATAAGACCGTACATCTTTGGAACAAGAAATGTTAAGTCACCCTCCAGAATGAAAAGACTATCCGGAAAGAAATAAATTCTAAAAGGAATTCCATCTGCTTTGCTTAGCCATGAGGAGGACCTGACCACAGTGTATGGGCAACTTCAGGGGGAAGATACTTGTCACAGAAAGAATGGCACAATAAGATCTATCCTTAACTGAATGCATTCCTAATAAAGTCAAAGTCAGAAACACAGAAGCTAGAACATTTCAGAAACAAAAAGAATGTCATATGAAAAGAGCACTTTTTTCTCTCGTCCCCTAAAACAAGCAAAGGCAAGTTACAAAGACACAACAGTAAAAGAAAACAGAGGACTATCATTGTCACGTACCAGATTTTGCTGGTGCAGAGTCACTGGCTGCCTTTACAGCCTTCAGAAGGACATGCTGATTAGATGACACGGGCATGCCTGCCCTGCATTGCTGCTGCTGTTGCTTTTGCTGCTGTTGCTTCAAGGCCTGGGGAAGAGGACAGAAGACATCACCAAAGAGAAATTCAAAATAGTCTTTGTAGTTAATAACACACAGTACAAACAGCTTGTTTCATAGCATCTGATAATTGGATTCTGATTATAACTAAGTCAAAAGTTTTAAACAACTTCTGAAACGCCATTTGTATGGGATACTGATACTGTCCATTTAAATACTGTATTATAAGTAGACATTTCCTACCTTCACATCTAAAGTAAAAAGTTAATGGTTGTAGAACATCTTAAGCTGTGTTGTTTCACGGAAAAATGTTTTCTAGAGAATGCAAAGAGAAGGAATTCTAAATCTGAAGTTGGTTCAAGGAGCAATTACATAAATAACTTCAAAGTAAAAGTACCATAATGTAACTCGCTTCAGTCTCCTGGAGGAACAAGTAGCAACTTACTAAAAACATTCAACAGAGACAATACACATTAGGAAAGACTTTTTTAATTAGGAAAGTAATAAAGACTAAAACACTAAAGGGAAGAAATTAAAATCCTTTGTTTCAGAAAAGAGCCTGTTAAGGCAACTATAATACAGCTTAAAAGGCACAAATGACCAATTAGATAAGGGACTAAGAAGGCAATTTGGTTAAACTGCTGCATTTTACCTTACCTAAACCAAAGCATCGGTTTTTAAAATATGAACTCCAAACCCAAATGAACTTAACAGCAAAGTAAATTCTTGCAGATCAAGTATACAGGAGAATTTGAAATAGGAAGCACCTCTGAAAATATGATGCTGCATATATACAAACCAGTAGGACTGCTGACTAGAGATCATCACTTTATCTTAAAAAACAAACAAACAAACAAAAAGAAACACAATTAGGACTAGGGAGAGACAATGAAAATAATATTTAAGAGCCTGCAGAATTTGCCATATGAAGAGAAGAGAAAAAGACAGACTTTCAGTTTGGAAAAGACACAAATGAAAGCGACCGAAAACAAAATGATACAAATAATAAGTTGATATGTTAGATTCCTATTTATTAAATAGTTCCTATTTAGCCACTTGTATCATAGGGCAAAAAAAAGCATTCAAACCAAAATGCAACCAAATTGTGCTGGACCTACTGGGTCAAGGGAGAGAGAGAAATTTGACATTTACATGAAGAACACAAAAATCCATAAAGTCACATAGATCAAGAAAGCTTTTACAAACTCCTCTTCTGGGCTGAAGATGAACCACAAGCAAGAGTGAATGTCAAGAAAATAGTAGGCTATAAACACTGCTCTACATTCCAGTATGTGCGATAGGGTGTGAATCCAAACTTACATTATTCAAATCACTTCAAACATGTAAAGTTTTCTATATTCAGTTCACCTCTTATTCTGGATGCCATTTGTTTAATTGCTGCATTTTTCTCAGCTTAGGTAAAACAATTTTGCTTTTGTTCATTGTGTCACCTCACAATTCTCGGTCACGCAGCATCTGAGGTGCCCACGCCAATGGTGGCTGAGGCATGTGTGGGAAGAGAAGGAAACGATTGTTCATCTAGACATCTCTTTTAAAATTCCGTTTCAACTTTACATTGTGTTTTCTGATATAACTAAATCTTCATTTTGAGCCCTGTTATAATCACAGAATAATTCAGGTGAGAAAGGACCTCAGGAGGCCTCTAGTCTAACCTCCTGCTCAAAGCAGGGTCAGCTTAAGCTCACATTGGGTTGCTCAGGACTCTATCCAGTTGGGTCATGAAAACCTCCACAGATGGAGATTGCATAGCCTCTCTGGGCCCTTGCTCGACTGTTAAGACTCTTCTTATGGGGAAAAGTTTTTCCTTATATCCCACCTGAACTGCTCTTGTTTCAACTTATGCCCGGTGTCTCTCATCCTCCCACCTCCTTCACCATGTAGTGAAGAGCCTGGCTCCATTTTTTCAATAACCTCCTTCTCTTCGTAGGACAAGTGTCCCATCCTGGTGGCCCTCACCAACTCATTCCAGTTAACTGATGCCTGCCTTATATTGAGGGCCTAAAACCAGATATAGTATTTTAGAAGGGGTCTAATGAGTGCTGCATAGGGATCAGTAGGATCTGAGGGTTGACCTACTGGAAAGCAGCTCTGCAGAGCAGAACCTGGGAGTCCTGGTGGACAACAAGTTAAGCATGAGGCAGCAATGTGCCCTTGTGGCCAAGAAAGCCAATGGGATCCTGGGGTGCATTAGGCAGAGTGCTGCCAGCAGGTGGAGGGAGGTGATCCTGCCCCTCTCCTCAGCCCTGGTGAGGCCTCACCTGGAGTACTGTGTCCAATTCTGGGCTCCCCAGTACAAGAGAGACATGGCACTACTGGAGAGAGTCCAGCGGAGGGCTACAAAGATGATCAGGGGACTGGAGCATCTCTCCTATGAAGAAAGGCTGAGAGAGCTGGGCCTGTTTAGCCTTTAGAAGAAAAGACTGAGAGGTGATCTCCCCAATGTGTACAAGTATGTGAAGGGGGGGTGTCAAGAGGATGGGGCCAGACTCTTCTCTGTGGTGCCCAGTGACAGGACAAGAGGCAATGGGCAGAAACTGAAACACAGGAAGTTCCATGTGAACATGAGGAAAAACTTCTTCTCTGTGAGGATGACTGAGCACTGGAACAGGTTACCCAGAGAGGTTGTGGAGTCTCCTTCCCTGAAGATATTCAAAACCTGCTTGGACACGATCCCGTGCAACATGCTCTAGAGGACCCGGGTTGAGCAGGGGGGTTGGACTAGATGATCTCCAGAGGACCCTTCCAACCTCAACCATTCTGTGATTCTGTAATCCCTCACCTCTTGTTCATATAGCCCAAGGTGCTACTGGCCTTCTTTGGTGCCAGGGCACACTGCTAGTTCCTGTTTAACTCTTGTCTATCAGGATTGCTAGGTCCTTTTTGGCAGAGCTGCTCCCAGCCCATCCTGTTACAAGGGGTTAATCTGACCATGGCACAGAACGTTGCATTTGTCCTTACTAAATTTCATTAAGTTCCTTTCAGCCCAAATCATCCAGCTTGTCTAGGTCCCTCTGAACAGCAGCCCTGCCCTCGAGTGTATCCCCCGCTGCATCCCCCAGCTTGGTGTTGTCTGTAAACTTGATAAGGTTCCTCCCATCTACTGTAGGACGCTGAGAAAGATATTTTACAGGAGAAGTACCAGGATAGACCCATGATGAATTCCACTTCTAACCAGTGTCCAAGTCTAGTTTGAACATACCTCACTACCCTCTGAGCATGAGGATCCCAGCAGTTTTTTTAACCCATCTAGCAGTCTGAATCCCAACTTAGACCTATGGGCAGTGTGGGAGACCATGTCAGAAGCTTTGATAAGGTCAAGGTATATAACATTCATTGCTCTCCCTTAACCCACAGGTACAGTCATTCCATCACAGATGGCAAACAGTTTGGTCAAGCATGATTTACCGTTCCCAAATCCATGCTAACTATTCCCAGTCATTTTCCTCTCCTTCATGTGTCCAGAAACGGCTTCCATTAGGACTCAGTAAACATTTTTTCAGGGACCAAAACTCACATCACATGTCACCTTCACTTGCCTCTCCTCCTATCCTGACCCACAAGCTCTCAGTCAGCCTGGCCCCCCTTCCACAGAACTCTGTATGTTCGAGCTGCTTCTGCATACACAAGGCACCCCATTGCTTTTTCTTCCCTGCCTCTTTCCTGAAGAGCTTGCATCACAACACTCCGGTCATACAAGCCATCCCACCACGTCTCAGTTACTCCAATGGTGCCATTGTTCTGCATCCACACATGGAGCCCTGGCTCCTTCTGGCTGTTTCCCAGGCTGTGTGCATTTGGGTGTAGGCATTTGAGGAGGACCCCCCTTCACCCCACCCTGTTTTGTTGTTCTTGAGGACCCTCTCACTCCCATCGCTGTGCCCCAGGCACTTATAACCCTGACTTCTGTTCCCCCACTTCACTGCAAGCTATTATCACCCTCCCTTGACAAACCTAGTTTGAAGCCCTCCTCAGCAGGTCAGCAAGGCTCCTGGCAAACGTGCTCTTTCCTCACTTTGTCAAAGAGATCCCCTCTCTCAAAGAGGGACTGATAGCCAAAGTGTTGCCAAGTGTTTCACACTTGACAGGCAGCCAGTTGTTAACTCACAGGATGTGTCAGTCCTACCCAAGCCTTACTCTTTCATCCACAGCATTGAAGAAAACACTACTTAGGCTTCCATGTCCTTCATTTTTGCCCCTAGAGCTCTGTAGTCACTCTTGATTTGTCCCAGGTCTCCTTCGGCAGTGTCAGTACTGCCCATGAGGATAAGCAACACAGAGGAACAGACTGAAGGGCAGAAGAGCCTTGGCTATCTTTGCAACATCCTTGATCTGGGCTGCTGGCAAACACCACACACTTTGTATGACAGCATGTCTGGTCTGCAGGTGGACGCCTCTGTTCCCTGTAGAAGGGAATCTCCAGCCACTAACACCAAGAGGAACTGGTCAATGCTCCGCTCAGGCCCAGCTGGCTCTGAAGCCTTGCACAATGGAGCTTGCTCCCCTTCCTTGGCCATTAGGGCATTGCACTGACTCTGTAGGTTCAGATATGAGGAAAGGGAAGGAGCCTTTCCCCTGCTGCCAGATGTCCCAAGCTTCCAGCCTTCCCCATCGCAGGAGTCTCCATCCACCACTCGTTCAAGCATAGCCCCTACCTGTCCCTCCTGGCATCATGGGCACAGGCTCTCGCCCCTGGGAGGTGTGAGTGTAGGTGTGTGCGGGAGAGTGTTTGTCCAAAGACCCTGTTGCTCTCCTGTTCATACTCCCTGATGGGACACAACCTGCCCACTTCCTCCCACAGCTCCTTGCCCTGGGGTTCAGCCCCTTGACCGGAGCCTGGCCCAGCAGTGAAGCCCCTTGGTCCCCAGTGGAGAGACAGGCACCAGCGCTCCCACTGGCCCAGGAGCAGTCTGCCCTCTAGAGTTGGGTCTGCGTGGAGGTCTCTGCCATGCCATGGTTGCCTTCTCCAGCTGGTGCTGGGGACCAGCTCTGTGGGGTGCCACCACTACCATCCCCAGGCCCAGGCCCTGTCCTTTCCCCACAAGGGGCCCAGTCTCTGTCCCTGAACACAATGAAAAGCCACCTTTGGAAACTGTGGAGCGTATCTAGGACTGCAGCTGCAATGCAAATCAGCATGGGGAGAACAGCTTGCCCCAGTTTTAGACCATTTCCTGGAGGATTACTTTCTTTTTGTTTGCCTTTGTCTTTCTTTTCTCTTTGTCATACATCCTAGCAATCTTAATGGAGGGCAGATGTTTCTGAGAAATGGGTGCAGTTGCACAAAGGACGGCTCTGAAGTAAACATCCCTGCAAAGGGTGGAAACCATCACTTTTCTATAGAGTTGAAAAAGAACCATTGCCCTCCTCCTCTTCCTCCTCCTCCTCCTCCTCCTCCTCCTCCTCCTC